AAAATGGGCGTGTCCGTTAGATGGACTGTTCACTTTCAAAGCTTATTACTGTCAGAAAGAAAGTGGAAGGATCTTTTTAGTTTGGCGTGCTGATAGGCATAATATCGAAGTATAACATTCATACTAATTTGTAGCTATTCTCATCAGGCTTAGCATTTTACGACCTGGTGTTCGATTTTTGATCTTTGTAGCCGGAAATTGATGCTTTCGGACGGTGTTGTCTTCTTTGCATTATTTTTATAAAACGCAAGCAATTGGTTTGGTTTCTTGTTTGCAAGTAAGAAAGAGGTGGTACTATCTATTATAACTGAGAAAAGATCTTATAGTAGAATATTTATCGAGATATGTTCGTCCGACTTCAAATGTGTCTGGAAATTGCTTCCTTACTCTAGGCGTTTCCAGAGCTATCAATGGCGGCTGTGTTAGTCACATCTTTTGAGAACAGACGAGTATGTCTACCTAGTTGCTTTTCCATTCTAGTGCGTGACTTAAAATGAATTGGTTGCTAATGGTAAGGATTTTTATACTTTTTGTGTATCCTAGCTACAAGAAATGCATCTAATCTGATTGGACGCATGGTAGAACACGGTTATACACCTCGGTCTCGGTTTCTATGGCATTTATTGACCTCGGGACTGCGTCCCTCGGTCAATAAATCCCATAGAAACCTCGACCTCGGTGTATAACCTATACTTTAACTACCCCGCTATGCTATTGTCTAATATATTCATAAACAACAACAGTCTCATAAGCTGGATTAACACTTGTGTTCAATACTGATCCTTGTACTGACTGTATAGGCCTTGCTGTTTGCTCAACTAAAAATTAATATAGAGATATTAAAGTCAGTTAGATCTGCATCATAATTTACTCTGTCCATATGCTGGATTATTTACTGTAATTTCGACAGGACCTGTATGAACTGAGTTAAAGAGCAAGCAACTAGGTTTGCCTTTTCCCCTTTTTCTCACACACCAGATACTAGTAGTGAAGATTACAATCAGCAGTATTATTACAAGTACTGTACCAACTACAGTACATATTAGCACTGTAGCAGATATCACAGGAGATGGATTACTGTCAACAGTATGGTAAGGAGAAACTGCCACTGAAAGAAATAATTTTAAATTATAGTGATTATATAGTTTACCTGTTGAGTATTCAACTTCACTAGATAGCATACCTATACCTTAAGTGAATTAATGCACTTGTTACTTATACTTACCAGTATTATGTATAGTGCTGTAACTGCTGCTATATACAATAGAAGGAATAATGATGTATACATGTTTAGGTTGTACACAAGTCCATGAATTAATGTACCCATTAATGATACCATGAACAGTCACTGTGTAATCACCACTGGTTGGTGAAGATGTTGTATTGCCTGATCCTGTAATATTAAAGTATATCTTCCTTCCAGTAGTAGTGTGTGTAAATATCACATGACATCCATCAGCAGTTGATCCTGATACAAACACACACTGTACACTAACTGATCCATTCCCTTCAGTAGATACTAGCAGATCTCGTACGTTATATGTAGCTTATGGTAGAATAAACAGGTTATAAAAATATAAATGTGAACTTACTGATAGTCACATTATTTTGATCTTCAATACCAAAGAAGGGATTCACTACACTTGTTTGAACAACGTATGTTTTGCATGGTTTTAATCCAGTCATTGTGTATGGTATTACTTCATGTGCACTATCAGTATTAATGGTATGGTACTTGACTCCTTCATCAGGATATAAATTACCATATATGGCACTGTTACAGGATTGTGTTGAACTGTTTACCTATAGTAATAAATTTACAATCTATGGTGTTTCATAAATTATGCTTTACTGATTACCAAGTTTATCAAATTAATAGAGAACAAACTGCTTGTTTCATTATACATCAGAGTGTAATTCAATATACTGATAGTGTAACCTATGGATGGACATTATGTAAGTAAAGTATTTAATAGAACATTGAGCTTTATGTTTACTTGTAGTAATGTGTTTCCTCCCTTGTGATTCATATTGTCCAATAGATGCAGTAATACTGACAGTAAAATTAGTACAAAATATTTCAGTAGTATTCAACCATACACTAGTATCAGCAGTATTAGTAACACTAGTACCATTCACTAGTACATTATATGTAGGGACAGTTCCTAGTGGTATATCATCAGAATAGAAAGAAGGAGGAGACCATGACAATAGCTGATCATCATTAGACAATTGTATGTCTTCAACTGGTGATATTCCTAATAGATAAATTAATTATACTTTACTAATCATGTATAATGTATGTGTACTAACCTCTTATTGTCAGCATACTAGTACTAGAGAAAACTTGTTCAAAAGGTGGATATGATATTGTTTGACAACCAATTTGTAATCCATCATTAACAGGTAACCCAGTGATAGTCAGTACTGATGATAAGTTACCAGGACCACCACCAGGATCAGTAACTGTGATGCTTCTTTGTTGTTTAACTGATTCTGTTAGTGGAGCACTATGTACTAGCCAATTCAGTTCATTGCCAGTTCCTTCACAAGTAAAACTTGCTGTCTCATAAATAGGAACAGTAACAGAAGTAGGACCAACTGTTATATCTATAAGAACAATTACAACATGAAGTATATCCAACATAAATTACCAGCTCCATTCACTGACAGGATCAACAAGAACAAGACAGTGAAAGAAGACAAATCTAGTCTCATTTTTACCTCTGACAATACTGTTATGATAACATGCTTTTCAGATGAACACAGTATATAGCTATAGTGAATCAATGTGTGATTTTGATTATACTGATTATCTGAGTGATTGTTATCTGAATGTTCCTTTTCAATAACAACTTATACACACTATACACAAAGTCATAATTCATGATTGGCCAATAATAATGTATAAGTTAGTAGATCTATTCAGCTCACTATCTGAGATTGTAATCACTACTACAACTAACAAAATTTACTGATGAAAAAGAGAACTCCTCGCTTTGTCACTACTAGTGTCATGATTTCTAGTGATTGAAATAGGCCTAGTACAAGAATAGGAATATTTAGTAGTGTTTAATATTATGTACTCTTGATTACACTTATAATTCTATTATAAAATTTTGGACAAATTTTAAAAAATTTTTATATTTGTTTATAGAAACAAAATTAATATAAATAGAATTACTAAAGCATAAAAATAAAATCAATTGACATGTCAAAATGAATTTTAATCCTTTGTTCAATCATTTGTGCATACATGTTTTACATAAATTTGTTTAATCAGCCAATTTTTAAAAACAACGGCTAGACTATGCTTTCCAAGAATCGGAAAAATCAAAAATGCACATTTAGAAATTGAGCCAATTCTGAGCTTAAATTTTCAAGTTACAGCCATTTTTAAAAAATGAGCCAATTTCTGAAAATTTCCTGTACTATAGCCCATGGTTTTTTCCAAAAAATGGCTCCAAAATCACCCCCAATTTTTATTACATTTTATTACTGGAATAAAAAATAGCTAAAACAATTACACTGGACATAAACAATGAAACATTATACAATATATGAGAAGTATAAATAAATACACAATCACATGACATGTTACAACATAAAATTATCAGCAATATATAAAAATGTAGCAGTAAGGCAGTAACACAAATATTACAATAAATTTTATTAAGCTTAATTAATTCTGGTCGCATCTTTCATCAGTTCCAACTGCAAAATAAACAACTATTTTCATTATAAATATACATCAAGTAATATTAATATGCTTACGTTGGTCAGTAGGAGTTACAGCAGTAGGTGTAGTAGGACAAGGGCCCTCTAGTATTTTCTATTAACAAACAACAATTAATAATTGAACAATAATTATCATTAACTTACCTGACGTGGATACTCTTGGGAAAATTGTCTTTGTAAAGCAGCAGTGGGCAGGACAAGGAGATTCTTATCACTTTTATTAGTACCAGCAGAAATACCAGCGATAGTGATCTTCTCTGGCTCTGACTCAAATGGCACATCAGATGGATTGTGTGTAGACTGAACTGGTTGAACTACTTGGGGAACAGTACTGTCAGTACATGAATGTAGAGAATGCTGAGAACTATTGACCACCAGATCAGTTATAGTATGTCCAATTTCCTCCCTGTTTTCATGCAAGTAACTGGTTTCAGTGTGGTGCTCTGATGAAGGCAACAAAGCAGCAGTTTCTGATGCAGTAGTACTAGAAATACAAATACAAATAGTTTGATAACTATCGCAATATGATGAATTGTTTATTTTATAGCAAAAATTAACATACACACTATAAACTGTGCTTGTAATTTTAAAATAATATTTACCTCTAGCCCATTTCAGAAAAATACCCAAGGCTATTATAATGGTTTTTTTTAAAAACGGCTCCAAAATCACCCCAAATTTTTATTACATTTTCTGATACATATTGATGTACTTATGCTGTGTAGAAAGTTTGAGCAGGCTCCAAGATCAACTTTTCAAGTTACAGCCATTTTAAAAAACAGGCCAATTCTGAAACTTTCCCTGTGCTATATATAGCCCATCATTTTTCCAAAAAATGGCTCCAAAACCACCCCCAATTTTTATTAAATTTTCTAATACATATTGACATACCTCCCTCCCTCTTTCTTTCTCCTTCAATAGCTGAGACTGCAGCATCAGAGAAGTTCAAACATGCTGACGTGTTACTCCAAACATTTAAGGAACCAGTTTCAAAACTCATTCCTCATATTTATCTCCTGTTCACTCCACAGCCCCTCCTCCTGAACCAATGTATGATAACATTGAAGAGAAGAGAAAAGTCCATGCTGTTAATATACAAGTATTACCACAGATACAACCTTGCCCAGCTTATGCAGTACCCCCGGCAGTACCACCAGGACTACACAGGCCCCTTGCTGTCAATGTACAGGATCAGCAATACATTGAGTTTGACTGACTGTTAGTGAGTGTGTGTTTGTATGTGTGTACTGATAGTTTGGTTATTATTGTTGTTATTATTATTATTGTTGTTATTATTATTATTGTTGTTGTTGTTGTTGTTTTTTATTGTTGTGTTATTTTTAGTGATATAATCACTATTTCCTAACTAATTTAAGCCATTCTGACATTCAATGATGATACATGTACTTATGTTGTACAATGTACATGTATCAAGTTCCACGAAATTTTTAAAGATGCTCCAAAATTGGACTTTGTTGAGCCAAATTTTGCTAAAAAAAGACTAGGAGAGAATTTTTAATTAAAAAAATTTTTCCTGATACATATACATGTTCTTATGTGTTTTTCAAGTTTGCATGAGTTAATTCTGATCATATTTGAGTTTTTTTACAAAATTTTAAAGTTGCATGCTCCAAAATCAGGCTGAAGTGGATTCTTAATTGCAGTCTGATCGTTCCGAGCCAGTTCAGTTGATGAACACCTTTTTGATTATGATTTGCTAAAAATTTTGACAATCAATCTATTTGACTAAGATGAATTGGGATCGTGTGGTATACATATTCTATCAGCTGGTTTGAGGTATGATATTGCTGCGGTTGTTGCAGACGACAACTTTTGAATCAAATCAAAATAATAAGTAAAAGCAAATTAAGTAGATAATATTAATAAGATCATGATAAAAACATATCAAATGTAATAGAAACATCAAATGAGGATGAGATATTGAACAAACCATTGGAAATCATATAAATGGGCACTCTTACACCACTTAAAAGAAGAATTATAAATGCTAACAAATATAAGGTAAACAAATAGCAAGGACAGCATGTACAAAGTACCATGACTTTTACCAATCAGACAGATGCAACAACAACTGTGGATCTTTCATAGATTAATGCATCATTGAAATCTTTGAAAGAGATGCAACACAGTGTACAATTAAGTAGACTTTGTTTTAGATAAAAAAACTGCTGCATTGCTAGTGGGCTGGGTTGAATATGCGTTAACCACACCTCTCTAATACAAATAATCATAAAAACAAGCATGCATTATTATTATGAAATAACCTTGCTAATATCTCCAGCAACATTATCATATTCAACACATTCAGCAGGTGGTGGTACATCAGCAGTATCACTCCTCCCACCAATATCAGTAGCAGTACTGCTATTAACAGTAACAGTAGGACCAGTATTGAAACTGAATGTGCTTTTATGTTGTATCAATGGAGTAGCACTATTTGGAGGTGAACCATTAGAGCAATAGCCTGATGATGAATTGTTTTGAATTTGTCCCTAAAAAGTAATACATTTTAGTATCTTACAATTTTATACATACATGTACATGTAGTCATGCATATGTAATTGAAAATATGATTAAAAATTTTTTTTTTTTAGAAAAAATTGACCCAATTGCTAATTACAGCACTACATATATGTAGCCTAGGACATTAATTATCTTGCTCATATCTCCAACAACAAGATCGGTATCAGTAATTCTACCAACAACAGAATATGTAGCAGTAATAGCATTAGCATCATGATTAGCATCTGTATCAGTAGTATCAGTCCTTCTATCAATAGCAGCATAAGTAGCAGTGTTGCTACTAACAGTAACATGATGATCATTATCATTGATGATCACAATCTTTTTTGAGTTTTCCCCTCAAAACAAATTAAATAATGTAGGTCACATTATAGTTTTAAGGTGGATTTACAATATGACACTAGTCCTGACGTTACGTTGATGCAGGAGTTGAATCTGGTTCAACTCCTGCGTGAAGCATGCATGAAATGGTCAAATTGCCTACGCTTTTGATTAAAAATTGACGTTATGTTGGCCTAGAGTCATATTGTAAATCCACCTTTATGTATGTAAGCACAGGTCGTGAATCTCATTACATACAGAATGCACAGATTATTTATAGTGTGGGAGAGTACAATGCAGCTATCATAATTTATAGTGCATGAGTATAATCATTGTAGAGATAGGAAAATAAGTACACAATGACAGCTCTGCATATTTCATACAGTAAACTGAATTTAGTAAGTAATTACTTTTTAATCATCCCTACTAACATTATGAACCAACAGTATAATTGTTATTAAAAAACAAGCCTGTACAGTACATAATAGTACAAAGCAGTGTTGTAGTAAATTATGGCTTCCCTATAGTACAAATAATAGGATTATATAAAACAATGAGAGAATTATTTTATTGAACATGGTGTGTCTATAATAGACACAATCGTTACATAATCACATTTTAATTAAGTAATTATACTTATTTCATTAAAGGTTTGAGTCTACCATAATAACACAATAAATGTAGAAAGCTACAGAGCAAAGCATCACTACACGCAGTATTTTAGTATTAAACAACATAATGTTATTATGGCCTCATTATAGTAAAATATAGTATACTAGTATTACCTCTTGTGGAGATGTAGTAGTGACATGGGAATTATTGTCTTGAACAGATTGTCCCTATAATAAACAATAGAACAAGATGTTAACAGCATTGAGACCATTATAAAGTATATTGCATCATTGTAACATACATTCCTTATAGCTAGTAATTCATTAGCAGGAACATGATAAGGATCCACTATATTCCCGTGTACTGGTTCACTTGTTGGAACTTTAGATCCTTCATCTTTTGACACATCAATAGTTACTGGTCCATTAGGATCATGTATCTCATAATGACTCATCTCTGCTTGTGGTTGATGACAGGCAGCAATTTCTACATAATAATAATATCTATAGTCATAATAACATGTACATATGCTGTACCTGAAGTCAAAATAACCCCTTCCTTTTTAGTTTGTCTCTTACACATCAGTGACTATGCTACCACTATGACTATTACTACTATCATCAATAAACCAGCACCAATCAATCCATAAAGAATGGAGTTACTGCCAGTTTCAGAACCTATTGTTTTATAAAAGTAATTGCATTTGCAATAATGCATTATTTATTATAGCATTATTGTATTCATACTATTCGGTGGGCTATCAGTTCCTTCAATGATATCAGTTGGAGTTAGAGTTGGTAATTGAGATGTAGGAGCCTCATTTATAGTAGAATATAATGAACTAATGAAATTACTGGTGCCACCTAAGAATAAAAATTAATAACAATTGTATTAATTAACTTAATTTACTAATAGAAGGTTTAGCAGGAGCAATAGTCACGTTAACTTGTTTAGGTTGTACACAAGTCCATGGAGCAATACTTCCATCATCATTTACATCATGTGCTGTTACATTATATACTCCACTGGTTGATAATGTTACCAGTGCACTATTATCTGATCCAGTTATATTAAAGTGTTCATTTCTTCCATTACTAGTATCAGTAAATATCACATGACATCCATCAGCAGTTGATCCTGATACAAACACACACTGTACACTAACTGATCCATTCCCTTCAGTAGATACTAGCAGATCTTGTACATTATATGTAGCTTAAGGTAAGACAATTAAAACACATAAGTTGCAGTAATTAAACATTAAAACTTACAAAATGGAATTTTAACAGTATTTTCATAAGTTTCTATATAAGCAGTATAAGCTGTACAGGGTCTTAATCCAGTCATTTTGTATGAAAACATCTCTTCTTTGTCATCTGCTTGGACAGTTTGAGTGTTTTGTTTTATTCCTTCATCAGGATCAACTCTACCAACTATCATATACTTACACAATTGAGTACTGTGTATCTAATAAAATAACATTAACAAAGTTATAAGTAATAATTCTTACTGAGATATTGAAATTAGCAACAAATGTCTGGCTTGAATCGTCAAAAGTCAATGTGATATTGTCATAATTAATAGTATGATCTAAATGATTGAAACAGTTAATAATAATAATTTTTATTTTATATTACTTCCAGTGATATTAAAACTATGTTCCCTCCTTTGTGATACATATTGTCCAATAGATGCAGTAATACTGACAGTAACATTAGTACAAGGTAATCCAGTAGTATTCAACCATACACTAGTATCAGTAGTGCTGATATAACTGATACCATTCACTAGTACATTATATGTAGTGATAGTTCCTTGTGGTATATCATCAGAATAGAAAGAAGGAGGAGACCATGACAAAGAATGATTATCAATAGACCATTGTATGTCTTCAACTGGTGATATTCCTAATAGATGATTAATATACACGTATTATTATACTAATCAAAATGTATGTACTAACCTCTTATTGTTAGTGTACTAGTGTTAGAGAACACTTGTTCATAAGGTGGGTATGATACTATGAAACAACCAATCCCAATCCCATCATTAACAGGTAACCCACTGATAGTAAGTACTGAAGACATGACACCAGCTTCATTATTAGTAGTAATGACAGATATATCTCTTTGTTGTTTAATAGACTCTGACAGTGGAGCACTGTGTACTATCCAATTCAGTTCATTGCCAGTTCCTTCACAAGTAAAATTTGCTGTTTCATAAATAGGAACAGTAACAGAAGTAGGACCAACTGTTATATCTAGAAGAACACGAGGTCAGTTATTGTAGAGTCATTACTTACTAGCACCATATGCTCCCTTTGGGATGCTCACACATAGAAGTAATACAATTTGTACAATTTGAACCAATACCAGCTCGAACATCAGCGAAGTACCCATGATAAATTTGTTAGAAGGACACAATTTACACAAGCATCACGTGATGATATGATGCCAGCCCCTCCCTGGCCCTGGCCTAGCTAGTCATGCATGCAGTGCACAGCATGCAAGCAGCCCTAGTGGATGTTTAGCTTTAAACTCACGTTACTCACCTGCAGTCATAGAAGTCTGGGGCCCCTACAATCATAGCAAAACCTATAGACATCTAATTTGCTTTGCTTGCTATTCTAGTGGGAAAAGATTTTGTCACCTCCTTGTACTATTAAAAAACTTCTTACACCTTCTAATGGGACAAGTCACAAGTATAGTACTATGATCTATGATGCTAACTACACTACAATCATAGATTATGCATGTATGTATCTTATGATCTATGCTATTAAAAAACATGTTCGTAATCATGATCACGCACTGTTACTGTCTCATAAGCTGGATTAACATCTGTGTTCAATACTTGTGTTGACTGTCTAGTTGTTTGTTGAACTGAAATGAGTAGAGATTATGTCAATTATGTACAGTCATGATGGCTTACTTTGTCCATATGCTGGATTATTTACTGTAATCTCAACAGAACCAGTATCTATGTTGAAAAGTTATAGTTTTTTGCTGAACAAACTAATAGAAGCAGCTATACCTTCTTTCCTTTTTCTCAGGACACACCAGATACTAATAGTGACTATTACAATCAGCAGTATATTTACAAATACTGTACCAACTACAGTACATGCTAGCACTGTAGCAGATACTACTAGAGGTGGATCTGCACTGTCAACAGTATGATAAGGAGAAAAAGTCACTGAAATATAAATAATTTTAAAATTATAGCAATGGCAAAATATACCTTGAGAATGTTCAATTTCACTAGATAACATACCTATATGTCTTATGTGAATTACTACATTAAATGTTCATTGATACTTACCAGTGTAACTCCTGCTATAGACGATAGAAGGAATAGCAATAGAAGGAATAGCAATAGAAGGAATAGCAATGTCTACATATTTAGGTTGTACACAAGTCCATGGAACAATACTTCCATCATCATTTACATCATGTGCTGTTACATTATATACTCCACTGGTTGATAATGTTACTAGTGCACTATTGCCTGATCCAGTATATTAAAGTGTCATTC